AAAAAAAATAGTAAAGATTCATTAGAGAACATAAAGATGTCAATATTGACTGATACATAAAAATCGCAAAAATACTTCAATATATCATTGTTTTAATATCGAAAATCATTGATTTTCTTCTTCATAAATTGAAGATACATATCTATAAAAATTGTTGAAGGTTATTTTCAAAGAAAAATTGTATTAATTATTTCTTTTATAGAAATAATTAAGAAAAAAAATATTGATTTACTATAGCAAAATAGTGACTTTTTTGTATATCAGAAATAGTTTTCAAGTATTTTTAATATTGAAACCAACTCGAAACTAAATGAATTATATACCAGTTTGTAGTCCTTGCTTTGCTCTATCAAATGGTATATAAATGAAATCAGTCCGCATGAAAAAAAAATTCAAGCAGCTCAAAATTATGTTAGATAGTATGCAATAAAATCATGTTCAGTAGGATACCAATAGAAGAGTGGTGTTATTGATGATCTCGATAGTTCGTAAAAAAATAATAGTCTTTATATGAAACGATGCAGAATTAAATGCTCTTGCTAATGAAGATAAATTGAACATTGAATATTTTCAAAAGCTTATCTATTTTGATCAAATATTGAACTACTATGATTACACTTAGAATACATCAAAGACTCCAAAAAGACCTATATGATATTTTACAATATTTTCGCTTGAAAATAAGGCTCAACATGCATATTTTTACTTGGATCTACTTTAATAAAACTTGCCTCACTTTTCTAGAAAGAATTGTCAATGAAATATCAATAAATCCCTAGTGGTCTATTTTCTGTAGCTTATACGCCCCCGTCCTTTCTCTATCAATTCATATAAATTAAGTTTCAATAATATCAGATGTTAAACAGCAATTTTTCAAGAATGATCTCAATTCTAATGTTAAAATTCAACTTGCTCTTCCATTTCAAACATGTTTCGTGATTAACAGATTGAGTCTCAGCAAAACACAAGCATGCAAACTTTTCGTTTTGTTGATTCTGGCTATTTATCAAATTTTTGATAAAGATAGAGAATAAATAAAATGAAAACTATATCATTCGGTAGAATAATCAATGCTTTATTCAACTATTTTAAAATAAGAAACTTCTCAGATTTAATAGAAATATACAAAACAATGAAAAATAACATAATTAGTCTGACATATTTCTTCATAGAAAATTATGCCAGCCATAATAAATGCTTATCTTGTAAATTCTAATATCAATAATTTCTTTGTTCGATGAATCATTAGTGATAATTAGAAACTAATGATAGGACAATAACTGCAATAGTGGACAAGATTCATATTTCTAATTCAATGGATACCAACAGACTGCTTTACTTATTTCTAAACATGAGATTTCAATGCATTTTTTTATATACATACCTTGAATAAGAATTTCAAAGTCAATTATAGGTCATAAACTTCTCGAGTCCAATAAATTGAAATATGCGTTACAGAATAGAAAGAATACTATTTAAACATCTTTCTTATTGAAAAAATAATAAATATTTTGATAAATCTTTTTCTTTTTTTGTATTCGTCAACGCGAACTTTTCTTATCTCAAATATCGTCTGACGTTTTGGTTGTGTAACTACTGGGAATTTTTCCACTATTTATTATTCATATATGATATTGGTTTAAAGGGATCTTTCAAAACTACACAATATGTTTTCGTCCCTTGATTTTTCAAAAATTTTGAAAAATATACATCAAATAAAGATATTATCTTATGAATCAAGAAAAAATCTCGGATTTTTTTTAAAAATGTTTTTATTCCTGACGATGGCTTCCGTTTTGATAACATACTATCACACTAGCCATCTACTATGATGAAACAATGTGATTCATGTGTTAAAGGTAATTGCCTTTTGGAATTTGTCATTTTGGTTATCATTAAACTTAGGATATTTTAACTATAAATCTATATATAAAGTCTTATTTAAAGCCATATAAGAAACAACAAAGCAACTACCTTATTAGAAAACGTGTTATTTTTTTATTAGAATCAATGTCTTACAAATTATTGATCTTGATTTTTTTTCTATTTACATTATTGATTAAAATTCAAGCAGATGAATTATATGATAATCAGTCTCTTATGAACAGTAAGTATAAGTTTATTTATATAAATATCTAATAAATTATCTATTTCTGCTTTTAGTGGACAATGAAAAGAATTCATTCATAAAAAACGTCATTATTTATGAAAATATTAAGGATTGAAGAATCAAAGACAAAATTGTTGATATTGTTATTGAAAGATTCCTATCAAATTCATTTTACGTCAAGCTCGTAGTTATGGTTGTAATGGAAAAAATAATATTGATAGATCTCAATGTATAAAGCATTGTAGAAGTCGAAATTACAACAAAGGTCGATGCAGCAAAGCATCACATTATAAACGTTGTGTGTGTTCCAGATCATCTTCTTCATAATTTGAATATCTATAATTATTATAAGCCATAAAAATGTTAAACTTGAAAATTATTTACTTTTTATTCACACCTCAATAAAAATTGTCGAAATCACTGATTAGTAAAAGAAAAAGTTGATGACCGAAATCAAACTTGAACAATGAGTCAAATGAAAAATAACTTCTCTTGATTTTATGACGTTGAATAGATGGATGTGGGTGGGTGCGGGTGTGTGTGTGGGCGTGGATGTGGGTGTGAGTGGGTGCGGGTATGTGTGGGGGTGGGTGTAGGTGTGGGTGTGGGTGAGTGGGTGGGTGGGTGATGTGGGTGTGGGTCTGGGTGGGTGCGGGTGTGTGTGGGCGTGGGTGTAGGTGCGGGTGGGTGGGTGTCGGGGTTCGTCTTCTCAACACTCACACCCTTCCACACCCCACACCCACTCTCATCGGAGTAATCTTTTAGTTTTCTGCTTTTCATACATCTTAAGGCTTGTAACTGATTGTTCGAAGAGAAGATGTAAGAAAAGTACATATAGAAAAATGTATGTTAAAATGACGTATGTGACAAGTTGATATAATATCATACGATTTTATACGAGATTTAGCCGTATTTCAGAGTTCCCTGAGAAAAAGCCAGCTGTTTTTTTACGACCGTTTCCCGAAGAAATCAAAAAGCGGATTATATGTTGTATACTCACCTTCGTCCCCTATTGCATGATGACAAATCATCCTACAAAGTATTCGCTAACCAACAATGTGTTCCGTTGTTATCTATCATCAAACAAATGATAACAGCTACTCTCTTTCTCACATTTTCTGGCTTCTAGACCAGTCAGAACACGTGCATATATATATACTAGCATGCACATGACACACTTGTAATAATATGATGAAAGAAACAATACTCGATTCACCATCCAATATGGTGGACTATCTCTCGTTTTATGTTAATGGAGAAGAAGTTATTGAAAGTAATGCGGAGCCCGATTGGACTCTTCTATGGTATCTCAGAAATAGTAAGTGATACAAATATTCAAAGACTCATTTTTGTGCCTATGTAGAATTGAGATTGACCGGATCGAAATTGGCCTGTGGTGAAGGTGCATGTGGAGCATGTACAGTGCTCATCTCACGATGTATCGATCGAGATTCTGGTCAAATTGAACATCGAACGGTGAATGCCTGTTTGGTGTCTCTCTGTTCTTTTGATGGATGTCATGTGATCACTGTTGAAGGATTAGGTTCAGTAAGTAAATCGAATCTTCATCCAGCCCAATCTCGTATTGCTGAACTGTTCGGTTCACAATGTGGCTTTTGTACACCGGGTATTGTCATGTCTCTCTATGGAACTTTTACATAGAATAGCAATCTACCACCAACAATACAAGATATTGAAGAGGCCTTCGATGGAAATCTTTGTCGATGTACTGGATATCGGCCTATTCTTGATGCTGCCAAAACATTTGCAAAAGACATAAATAAACTACCTTGTCAACAATCGTCACCAACAACGTCGATCACATTGGACAAATGTATCTCATTTGCCAGTCAAAATTCATCACCACCTGATCAAGTCGAATTTCCTCAACAATTACGACATCACATTCCACCATCGATTCATATCAAAGGTAACATCTCATTCCACTCTAAAATAGAGGGTTAGCTAAATTTGACGACGGATCCGCAATCTGGCTTTCGCCTAAACCGTCTTGATTATCCGCAAATACACTTTCACTTCACGCTACGTTACTTCGTTACTGCACCTCACACCATCACGCTTGAGAGACAATAGTAAAGTAGCGAAGTAACGTAGCGTGAAGCGGAAGTGTGTTTGTAAATAACCAGGAAGATTTAAGCGAAAACCAGATTGCAGATCCACCGTCAAATCTGGCTAGTAGTGCTAAAATACATAGGCACACTATCTTCGACGCTCTCTTGAAGATAGAGAGACAAATTTTACATTCATTAGTAAGTATTTCTGCTTATTCTTCACCAAGGATCTTAAAGTGTTTCCAAAAACTGTTAATTGCGCCTTTTCGGTTAAGCTCATTTATCAGTTGTTCTCAATCCTGAAAGAATGAGCCTTCGCAGCGTTAATTGCTGTTGTATTTGACCGCGCTATGATTGGTCGAGAGCGTAGGCTGAGAAGGGTCTGGGGAACCAGGAGATTAATCAAAAACATCAAAAACAATTAAAAAGAACGATTTTCAATCAATTTCATCAGAAAAATCAAGCTTCTATCGAATAATCTGGTATCGTATCCAGCTTGGACCGTAAGAAATCATCTACACTCTAAAAAATGGGTACAGTACGAAACCTAAAAAAGGTTCTGATCGTGGATATATTTCTCAGACCCATTAAAGGTTTCGTAGACGGAGGTTTTCGTACGAAACCCTTTTCTAAAGTGCATCTAGTCATTCTACAGCTTATTTAAAATGTTTACCCACCTAAAGTGTAAGCGATCGACATTCCTCGTCCGCTTACGTGCTGCGCCATATATATATATGCAGGTCATTCTTTTTTTCTGTTCTTCTCTTGTTGCTTCTCTTGATTATCGGTCAGCATGACCGCTCTCTCTTCTGTGATATCGATGGTATTACCTAGTTGAAAGAAGATGAATACTTGGATGTTCATCTCTCTTTTTCTCTTTCTTTTTTGATGATTGCTATCTAGGGAAAGGCAGAATGCCTGATATTTTTTTTCTCTCACTGCTTATGAGTATAAATACAACTGTCTTTTCGAATAAAAGAGAGAGAGAAAATTTTCATACGAAAAACAGCATCAACAGCAATCTGTAGCATAAAGCTAGTCCTCTTCTTTGCCCCTTAAGGGAGATCTTCAAAGATGACTATGAAAAAGGTAAGGGTTTTGGAATAGTTCATCTTTGCGTGCCAAAAGACTAAAAGTCGCACCTATTGTCAGAATTAGATGAGGATAATACAGAGATGAAAGTACAACGCAGTCACTGATCCTGTCAACCACCTAGTCATATTCGCTGTGAATAGTATCTACATCGATATCGATCGGGGTGAACTTGTTCAGTGGAATGACGCCTCGGAATGATATGAACCAACGTCTGAGTCATGAACTGGGCGCCAACTCCATATGCCCACTCGAAGAACGAAACAAGCGAAATAAGCAAGAAAAAGCGCTACTTCCGGCCGTCATCTCTCCATAACCATAGGAAGTGTAACTTTTAGTCCTAAAACTTCTAGAATCGTGCTTTCAACTGAACACTCTTATCCACATTGATATCAATCGAGTCATCGACCGTGTCGTATCGAATAATCCATGATCTAATTCAAAACACTTTAAATAGATTCACGCTTCTCTCAGATTAGTCATATTTATATCCATATAGGTTCCTTTGTCGAGTGGTATCGTCCTGTGTAGCTCCATGCGCTGCTTCACCTTCGTCATGCCTATCCAGGTGATGCATCCAAACTTGTCTTTGGTAATACGGCAGTACAGATTGGGACTAAATTTAAACAATTCAAATACCCGCGTCTTATTGCTGTTACACACATTCAAGAATTGCAACAACTCTAACGAACTTCAGATTCATTCGTTCTTGGTGCTGGTATTACACTGACACATTTACAATTGAAACTGTCCGAATGGAATGATGAAAAGAACAAAGATAGTGGAATTTGTCAAGCTCTACTCGATCAACTCAAATATTTGGCATCGACACAAATACGAAACGTTGTCTCGCTCGGTGGATATATTGTCAATGCTTTGCCCATGTGAGATACTCCAGCAGCAGAGTCTATACACTCTTATTATCTTCTTTCTAGTTCGGACCTGAATCCGGTACTGCAAGCTGCAGATGCTATACTCGAATTTCATCGTGCTAATAGCATCGAAGCGCGTCATATACCGTTGCGGGACTTTTTCCTTGACTATCATCAGGTAGCCATGACAGAGGATGAAGTGCTCGTTGCCATTCATATTCATCTCCCACAATCATCGAGCAAATACTTTCTTCTACCATACAAACAGGTACGTCGTCGAAATAATGACCATGGAATTTTCAGTACTGGACTTCAAGTTCAACTTGAACAGTCTGAATCGGTTGGTGGCCAATGGCGCATTGTTTCAGCTTGCTTTTCATTTGGTGGAATGGCACCGACAACAGTCATGACAAAAAAGACTCAACAAGATTTGATCGGACAAATGTGGACGAGAGCAACAATTGACAGAGCCTTTGAATCGGCTCTAAAAGAACTACCATTGGATGTACTCACGCCCGGTAGTCGATCCGAATACAAGTATCACAGTTTATCTATCGCTAGACAATGATATTATGCTTCTAACGAAGAAAATTCCACAGCTGATATTTTCCTCTTAGAAAAGACTCATGTAGATAGACTAGAAAAATCCTGAAACTCTTTGTGCCCATAGGCTATTCTTGATGTGATATGCATTTTTTTGAAATTTCACCACTACGTAGCGATTTTAATCTTGTATGACCACCAGTTAAAAACGGCACATTTTATTACATAGTATCCTAATAACCAGTTATCGAATTAGCTTCAACTTTTCATCTGCTTCGCTCTTCATCATTGTTCAGAAATCGAGCTTATGACGATATTAATTCTTGTTTCCACGAAGGCTAAGCACGAATCCAAAATTATCGTGATTTATCTTTTTTCTATTAGCATAATTATTCAAATGTGGAATCAAAGTAAATTTGGTTCAGGAGTGATAGTGATCGAGCGCGACATACTATCTTGTGTTCTGTACATAATAACAGATCATCATTTTTGCCTTCGCCATATAAAAAGAGCTATCTGATAGCACTGTCAGTTTGCAGCTAAAGTCAAATCTTATATGTCTACATGAGTCTTATTTATCGGCAAAATATTATCTTAAAATCTCTTGACCAGTTCGTGAAGCTCTCTCACGAGAATAACTCATATGATGATTTAATGTATTTTTGTTTGTTTAGACGCACTCTACTTCAATCATTTCTCTACAAATTCTACATCTATGTCTGTTCGGAATTGCATCGATCATCGGTCGATTCGAAACATCTCTCAACTGCTTATCCCTACCATCGATCGGTGTCCTACGGTCAACAAACAATTTCTGAACGACCTCCATCTCAAAGAGTCATTGATAATTCATTGCCACATCAATCAGTCTATTTGCACACGACAGGTGAAGCTACATATATAGACGATATGCCATCATTATCCGGTACTCTCCATGCTGCACTCGTACTCAGCACACAACCCAATGCTCGAATCAAACATATCGGTTAGAATCTCCCTATTTTCACACATAACATTATTTATCATACTATAATAGATATTAGCGCTGCTTCACGAGTGCTCGGATTTGTGTCATTTGTCAGTCATACCGACATACCAGGTTCCAATAATACGGGTGTATTTATGCACGATGAAGAAGTATTCGTATCATTCATTGCCCAGTGTGTTGGTGCTGTTATTGGTGTGGTTCTTTGTGAATCGGAAGGATCAGCTCATATGGCCTCGGATCTTGTTCAAATCGAATATGAATTGTTGACACCGACAATGTTCACAATTGATGATACTATTGAGAAAGAATCTTACTTTGGTGATGAACTATGTCTTCGACGAGGTGATATCAACAACGCTTTTGCCAATGCTGAACATACGTTGGAAGGAACCGTATTTAACGGCGGTCAAGAACATTTCTATTTGGAGACAAACTATTGTATGGCCATACCGTCGAAAGATGGCAAAGAACTCACATTGTACCCATCGACACAACATCCAAGCCTGATGCAAACCCTGACAGCATTGGCACTTGGCCGAGATGCCAGCCATATAACGTGTCATATCAAACGAATGGGTGGCGAATTTGGTGGCAAAGAAACAAGATCGTCAGTAAAACTAAGTTTACTGTCTTCTTGGATTTTGCATTAGTATTTCTATTGCAGAACTTTACTGTGTGTTGCCATTGCGGTGGCTGCCGTGAAAGTCGGACGTCCTGTTCGTCTCAACATCGAACGTGATATCGATATGTGTGTCACTGGACAACGGCATCCATTCAAAACCAATTACAAAGTGAGCTTTACAGGCGATGGTCGCTTTTCGGCACTTGATGTTTGTCTATGGAACAATGCTGGTTGTTCCTCGGATTTATCAATGTTCGTGATGGAACAGGCTATGGTTCACTTTACTAATACCTATCAATTTCATAATGTACAACTGCGTGGACGCGTTTGCAAAACACATCTACCATCGAACACAGGTCTGCGCTAAAAGAATAGAAAACACAAAAGATTGTCGACTTTTTTATTGCAGCCTGTAGTGGTTTCGGCGCTCCAGAAGCTATCCTAACATGTGAAACAATTGTTGAACATGTTGCCACACATCTCAAACTCGATCCATTCACTGCTCATCGTCTCAATGTCTACAAAGAAGGAGATTTGACTCATTTCGGACAATCATTAGAACGGTGGAATGTACCTCGACTCTTGGATGAACTTATCAAATCGAGTGATTTCATGCAACGACAAAAGAGTGTTGAAGAATTCAATCGCATGAATACCTACCGAAAACGTGGCCTAACTATTATGCCAACCAGATTTCTCATTAGTTATCAGATTAAGTTTCTTAATCAAGCAGCTGCTCTTGTGCACATATACAGAGATGGTTCAGTATTACTGAGTCATGGAGGTATTTAGACATTCTGTCAAATGAAAATAAATCCAAGATTCTCTCTCTTTTCAGGTATTGAGGTGAGTCAAGGCCTTCAGACAAAGATGATATCGGTAGCTACTGAAGTATTAGGCTGCAGTGTCGATCGAGTACGAATAAGTGAAACATCGACGGACAAAGTGGCTAATACAAGCCCAACAGCGGGTTCGATCTCTTTCGATCTCAATGGAATGGCTATCTAACATGCATATGAACAAATTCGTGAACGATTGAATACACTCCTTATCGACAACAATGTCAATCTTTCATGGAATGATCTTATTAAACAAGCCTACCTCGCTCGTATCGATCTGTGTGCACATGGATTCTATGCACCACCCGAACCGTTGGGCGCCGATTTTACTAAAAATCGAGCTAATTACAATTATTTTATACAGGGTCCAGCGATAGTCGAAGCCGAATTAGATACGTTGACAGGCGATTGGCATCTGTTGCGTGTTGATATTCACATGGTATGTGTTAATTCTACGCTGAAAACTTGAGTCGGAACATTTCTCCTAGAAGACAAGAAATCTATCTTCGATTTCTAGCGAAATGTGTAACGAGGAAACGTTCTCAGGTATTCATTCACTTTTCAATCGAGACTATGTATGTTATGTAGGCCCTAATGAGCTATGAATACCCTTAGAAGAGTTCGTGCTCTAGCTTGGTTCTACTGAAATATCGAATTTTTACTGTATTTTTAGCATAAAGGTAAACATGAGAAGAGTTTACTGTGAGAGTTTGAGATCTTTTCGTTGCTCCTATCCTGAACTATGAACATTGAAAAATTTGCTAGTGTTGAAGAGTAGTGCGAAAAACAGCATGTTTTTACTACAATCGTATCTCAGGATAGGAGCAACGATAAGATCTGAAACTTTCATAACAAAGTATTCTCATTTTTAACTTTATCTGTGCAAAGTTCCAAGTTGAAATTCGAAAGTCAATTTTCCAGGTGAATCTGGGCGTTGTGCTAAAAAATTACAGTAAAAATTTCGATATAGCAGCAGAAACAAGCTAGGGGCACAAACTCTTTTTAGAGTATTAATAGCTCATTAGGATCTACATGATACACATAGTCACGGCTCAAAAACGAATGAACACCCGAGAACAATCCCTTAAAAGCACAAAAACAAACGAAAATATGTTTTTTGATCTTAGAAAAGATTCAGTTTTCGGTTTCGAGTCTGCTTTTGCGACTGATTGACTTTTTTTGTAGGATGTTGGCACATCACTCAATCCTCAAATTGATATTGGTCAAATTGAAGGTGCTTTTATGCAAGGGATCGATTTATTTACCATGGAAGAACTTGTGAGAGGCGATCATAGCCAACACAAATGGATCAAACCGGGTACATTGTTTACCCAAGGACCGAGTAGCTACAAAATTCCATCATTCAACGATGTTCCACTCGACATGCGTGTTTCATTCTTGTCCAATGCGCCGAACCCTCGAGTAATCTATTCGTCGAAAGGCATTGGTGAACCACCACTCTCATTTGATATCGCAGTCTTTTTTGCGCTCAAACATGCGTGTATGGCCTATCGCGAACAACAAGGTTTTACTGAACATTTTCAACTTCATTCACCGGCTACTGTCGAACGACTTCGAATGGCCTGTGCTGATGAATTCACTCGACGTGCATGTCCCAATGAACACGATAAATTTCAACCGAGAGGCTCCTATTGAGAATACTACACTATTTTTTTATTCCTTGTGTATTAATTTAAGAGATCATTCCCGAGAACATTGAGGAGCCTTTCCATGAACTATACGATGATTGAAAAAAGAAAGTATGTTTTTGTTTTATCAGTAGATTCTACATTTAAAATTGAGACCAAAACTTTCATGAAAATACCTAGAAATGATCCCTCACATAATAAATTTTTCTAAATTGAATCTTGATATTTGTCCTAAATATTGATTATCCGTGTCAATGTGCGTCGACGGATCGACTAACCTTATGTTACAGCGAATGTTAGTCGATAGTCTGACCATCCTTGTAGATCTCACTATTGCTATGAACATTGACGTTCATGTCTTTGCTTTTCCTGAGAACACGTCGTCTAGTTGCGAGGCGCGCCACATATAATCAGATAAATTATCTTCAGAGCAGTTCGGGCACTTTTACAGCGACCATTTCTGATCAAGCTGAAATTTTCAAGGCTTGGAGAGAACCTTAAATTATACGCCTTGTAGTATAATTGGAGTCGCACAAACTTAAATACTGACTGACTTCTAGTCGACCTCGAAAGTGTCACATCTCTATGTTCGGCATCTTTATTCGTTCCTGCTTCGCCAAAAAAAAACAACTCCATTTGCAGATTCGGATTGTTCCATCTCTGAAGAACCCGAAACTATGCCATTTGGGTGTGGGTGTGTGTGAGTGTGGATGATCCCGTATTCACGTACACCTACAGCCACACCCTCACACCCACACCCGCAGACTGATTAAATTTTTCTATTTTATTCGACTTTTTGGGAAAATATTATTTGGTAGTCAAATCTATGATTCCATTAACAGTTGATGTATTAATGAAAAATATTTCATAGCTAGTTGATTCGAAACATATTATTCAATATCATCATCCTCGACGGGTGTATCACTAATTATGTTAGGATTTTGATTAGCAGACAATGAAGAAATAGCAGCTGGAACTTCTCGGTTATTATCGATTCCGAGCTCGTTGTTGTTATTGCAATTATAGAAATTATATGCTGTTGATTGTTGTGAGAAATTTTTATGTATATAACCTTTTGATATCTTGTTCGATACGAAATATGTACTGATATCTTTGCTGTTTTTTATTCATTATTTTTGATCAGTGTTTGCTGAAAAAAAAATATTACATTGATACTATTATATGTGAATAGTAAAGTGCAAGAAAATACTTGTGATTATATGTGTCATACGTATACTTCATATCAATTATAACAAACGAAGTGTTGGTACAAACACAAACATTGTAAATTGATAGTGTAACTTTTTCTTAACAGAGGGGCAATCGATCCTCTCCAGTTCTTCCCTTTCTGTGAACATCTCTAGTTATACAGTAAAAGTTTAGTAATACTTCAGTGAATATAAAGCGGGATACACGATGTAAAGTTCAATATCTGCTTAATTCAATGATTAAACTGGTTCTATTCAGTGAAAAAAATTCGAGTCATTTTTGCAGCTCTACATGGGGCGTGAGTAGTCAAGAACAGCTCACAACACGTTCAGATTTATTCATCGAATTCTTTTGAGTTAAATTATATTTGAAAAGATTTTTTTTGAGTTGATTCAACTGAAAATATTGGCAGAAAAAGCGTCACTATGCATTTTGTAGTATAATTTGAATGTATTCGAAACAATAAAAGCTTGAGGATTTCAATTATTATCGCCAATATAATTTGTTGGACTCTATATAAGCTGAAGATTTGAATAGAAGCAGAACAATCGTCTGTGAATTATAGACCAAACGAGTTTCAAAATGTTACTGTATAAAATGAGTGAATATACTATTTGTTGAGTATGCATCTATCCCTTTTTCTCTAGTATAGGAATAAGAAAAAGTAAACATTTTTATATGAAAATGTTATTTAAAAATTTCTCTATTATTTGATGTATTGATTTTTCTATTCAAATCTTTCCTAGCCTGCAGAAGCGGTACTTTTGTATCATGGTACATAAAAAAGAAAAAGTGTTTGTCATTGAATGTCGAGAGCAGAACTATAAGAATGAAAAGATATATTGACAAGTGAATCATATGTTTTGATAGAGTTATATCCCAGCTACACAATGACCAACTTACATTTCCTTTTTTATTTCTTTTCTTTACATATATCTCTCTTAAAAATGCCATTTTTTCCAACTGGCAACCCTGTAACTTATGAACGATAAAAGATTTAAACACAGAATTTGGGAAACTACGAAGGAAATAAAATTAAAGAAACCACTTTAAAATCGTCCGATCAGAACGAAAGTTATAGTGTAGATACTCAAAAAGACCAATTGTGCAAAAAAAGTAGCAATTCACTCATATCTATATGAATGATCAAAAAGTGTAGGCTGATGGTGGCATTGTAAGCATAGATAAATTCTGAAAAAAATCTTTCTTTTGAATAAATGATTGTTTGTAAGATTATTCATTAATGATAATGATTTACTGTATTGATTGCTATAATATATAGAACAAATAAAGCAATTAAGTGTACAATATGATGTAATCACTTTTGAACTTTTTCTCTCACGTATTTGACTTTATAGTAGTATTGAATGATTATGTAGAAAAAGATATTGATATTTGCATCCGCTTTTCTACGTGCTCTAATAATCCATGCTTGAAAATGTTCATTATAACATTCATTGTTAAACATTGATTTTAATACATAGGTTGATTCTTTTGCTTTAGTGCACGTTCTTATATATATATATAGATGATTATTTAACATGTGCATAATGATGGAAACACTTTCATCTGAAGTAATCAAAATGAATCTAAAATTTCTTTTGATGATTTGGCATCAATGGACATTGATTTATTGTCAATTAAATCTTTATAATACTGATCGAACAATGAATGGTGCTTCATTACAATTTGATTGTTTGTATTATCGTGTACGTTATGAAAAATTAGCATATCAAGAATTATCAAATGTAATTGATAATACAATTGCATATTGTTTCCGTCCAATAAATGAAACTGGAATGTTAATTTCAGATTTTAAAAATACACGTGATCGAAGTTATACTTTTGATGAATTACGTATTAATAATATCACGACACAACAACTTCTTTCATGGTCTGCTTCAATAGATCTTGTTGAACAATATCAATTTTATCTAAATGAAATAAATCCTTCTCTATCGTCATTATCGAATGAATTATTCTATAATTGTACAAAACCATGGTTTGGTATTCGATGTCAATATTCATTTGAATTTAGTGAAGAAATGTCAATAAATGATATTGTTGAAAGTGAATTCTCTAGAAAAGCATCATATTCCGAATCGTCTAATATATTAATAAAACTGCCATGTTATATTCATCTTAAATGTGATCGTGGTGGATCTCTATTATGTCTCGATTGGCGTGAAGTATGTGATGGACGTGTTGATTGTCTTGATGGAGGTCTCGATGAAGCATTCTGCTTCGATATGGAAATTAATGAATGTAGTGAAAATGAATATCGATGTCATAATGGTTTATGTATTCCAGAAGAATTTTGGAACGATGGTGTAGGTGATGCTGATTGTCTTGATCGATCAGATGAAATAGCTGATAATTCATATCCAAGATCTTGTTTTCAAGATCCGACATTTCGTTGTGAAGAACATTCTTGTAGAACGAATTGGCATCAATTTCCATGTGGAGATGGACAATGTGTACAAAAATTTGATAAATGTCATAATGGTCGACATGCTTTATTAATTCAATCGATGATATTTCAAGGTAATTTACCGAATAAATGTTGGATTGCAATGATCTGTCTTACTATGTTGATTAATGAAATCGATGGAATAACGTGTCAAACATGGTTAATGAACGATTCAGCTATTGAATTTCTTAAAACCTGTGATTCTATTTTTCAATTTCCAACAATTCCAGTTCATTTTGATCATATTCGTTTTTTATATGAACAACCTCATTTAAAGTTGAATCAAAGTTCATTTATGTTACCCGATTATATCTGTTACAATGAAAAATTATGTGATTGTATTATACCAACATTTTTTCATAAAAATCTTACTTGCGTACACAGTCACGAATTACAATTACAATTGACCATTTCTGGACATCCATGGATTGATATGATTTTAGAGATTAATTCTTATTTTTCATCTTGTTTAATTATACAAACATTTATTGATAAGAAAATAATCTATGAAAATTCTTCATCACTCTATGAATGTCAAAATTCGTCTAAAGTTATTTCTAAGCATCGTATTACTGATGAAAATAAAGATTGTTGTATGGGTGATGATGAAGATCATCAACTTAGTTGTGTATTCAATGATAAATATCGAGTTAAATGTTCTAATAAAAGTATTTGTTTATCATCATTACATTCAATTCATGATTGTCCTGAATCGGAAAATCAATATCATAATAATGTTCCATTTCATATATTTTGTAATGGTTTTGAAGAACATTTCTTTGAAGATTTCAATGGTCAAAGTTATACAGATGAATCGGAATGTAACTATTGGCCATGTAATAATATTTATTCACGATGTGATAGTTTCTGGTTATGTTCAGATGGAAAAGATGAAGATAATTGTCATCATAAAATATGTCCTTCTGGAACACATCCATGCATATCTCCAATTAATTATTCGTTAACGTGCTTATCTGCTGAGCGAATTGGTGATGAAATTGATGATTGTCTTGGAGCATCAGATGAACTTCATTTTTGTCGACAATTGTATCCTTTAAAAGAAGATTATGAACGTTTTCGTTGTATAAATAGTGATCTATGTTTGTCAGCATCTGAGCTCTGTAATAATATTCAATCTTGTCCACTTGGTGATGATGAAAAATTTTGTAAAAATTATCACTTTGTATGTCAGGAAGATTTATCTAGTAATTATAGTTTAATCGAAGATGTTCTTTGTCAATTAAGTGAATATAAAAAAAGTGGAATAATTCATTTCTCAATTCGTACTGGACTTGTTTATCCACAATCAAAATCTGGCATTTTAGATT